TAATCCCGTGTCGAAATTTAAAACCTTTTTATGTTCTACAGCGCTTTCTCCAAAGCGCGGTAAAAGATAAAAAAAACTATGTATTAAGTCCTAACGTCATATAATTGCAAGACCTTCCCAGGGTATTTAGGACATGCTTAGAGCAGATTTAGTAACCTAAAGTTCGTGAAAAAGTTTTAGATTTTATGAACTTAGACCGTTTAAAAAGGTCTTTATACGTCAAAATATCGAGGTGTAATTTTAGGTTAGGTATTTAGTAAGGTTGCTTTCTATCCTGAAATATTATGTGTGTGTGTGTGTGTATATATATATATATATCTATATATATATATATATATAATATAGAATTTTATGATATGAGTGGAACGAATATTAAATGTTTATTATGAACAAAACAGCACTTAGATTTTTTTAGCACAACTTTATTTTATGATTACAAACGTTTCGAGACCAAGGTGTGCCTCATCTTCCGTGTAATTTTCAATAACAGTTATTTATTACTAAACATTCTTTAATATTTTATTTAAAAACTATATTTTGACTTTTGAATATAAAACACCAACTATTCCTTGCATTGGCAAGTGACAATTGTTTCAATCAAAGCTTGACACGGTACTAACTGACATGTGACATTTACAAAATTATTCGAAACAATAATATAATACTTAGGTCGTCCAGGTAGCTTAGAATTGGTACGTCGGGTAGGCTGGAACGGAGACGGTCTATAGGTACCCATCCATTAGGAAGTTTATTATCAAAGCAACCAGAAGATTTATTATGGAATGAGCAAGAGGCAGATACAAAATAGAGATGAAACATGATGTCATGAGCAATATTTTCGAATTCGCAGACATCGCCTATTATATGTTTCAACAAGCATTATAAAAAAATTAACAGTACAAAAGAATCATTAACACTCGATTTGAAGATTTTTATGAAGATCTGTAGTAAAATGATAAAAATTAATAGTTCAGGCGGCTAAAATGATGTCCGCAGTTCTGGCGGAGAGCGGAGCAACCAGATTTTACCTGAATATTTTGCCAATTTTATGAGACCATAGTCATAAAATGACTCGAAACGATACCTTTTTTCGTAAAATACAAAAATATATTTTCAAAATCACGTAGGTAAAAATATGTAGGTGAAATTTTATATTTATTTGTGCATAATATTTAATATTTATTTATATTTGAAAATTATTATAAATCCATGCGTTTCAGATAACATCCTTGCTTTTATTCGGTTGATTATACAGTCAAGAATCATACTTTATCCAAGTAAACCATTTGAAATAGTTCAAGAATAAAAATAATAATAATAATAAACTAATCTAAAATTACTTGAAAAGTGCACTATTGCAAAATATATATTCAGATATTACAAGTAACCATACAAATAAGCATGAATAATATTTATTCTAAGAACAATAAATAATGAACTATTTATTTGTACGTTTCGACACGGTGTGTTACCATTCAGTAATTTTTTTTAAATATTTATACAGTATAACACCAGGAAAAACAATCACAAAAATTGAAACAAACATTATTGAAAAATAAAACATAATAATTTTTTTTTTTACTTAATTTATTATGTTTTATTTTTCAATAATGTTAGTTCCAATTTTTTGATTATTTTTCCTGGTGTTATACTGTATAAATATTTAAAAAAAATTACTGAATGATGACACACGGGCCGTGTCGAAACGTATAAATAAATAGTTCATTATTTATTGTTTTTTTTATTTCAACGATTGGCTGCAAATATTAACATTCAAGAAATATGTCTCTCAACGTCAAACAAAAAATCTAAATCTTATATTAAATGTTTGTCAATAATGCCTTCAATAATGCAGTAATTCCTCTTTGTAAAAGCTAACATTTCATTTAATGGATTAATCCTGAATCCAGGTATATTCGAACCAAAAATCCCTAAACGAATTTAATCTGATTTTTCCAAAACCCGAAATTCTATAAATTAACCGTTAACACCTTAGATCGCAAAATTCATTTCTTGCGCTGATTTCAATGATATAAGAAAAATATTAAATTTTTTTTTCTTTAATTAATTAACCAAATCTCTTTATATATTATAAATAAAATCTTAGAAATGAATATAGTAAGAACGGCAATGCGATGTGTTATCTATTAAAAAACTTTTTATATACTACAAAAAAATGATTATACTGGGGAAATGCATACATAAAGTTTTCCACATTTTATTCATATGAAAAAAAAATTGGTTTTTAATTCGTGTTTTTTCCTTCAAAAATAAATATAATATTGAATTTGTTTTAAAAGTTGTCCGTTTTTAATTGCACCTCAAAAAATATGAGTCATTGGTTTGGAATTTAATTTCACTTATGAAATTCACATTACACGACCCTTTCTCGTATCTGCATTATTGTAAATGTAGACGAATATTCCAAGATTAAAGGCCATGTTTCAGGTTAAAATTAGGTTCTAATATAATATGAATCGTGAATAATTTGTTATAACGGCTATTGGTCTACGTTTGAACAATATTTTGAGCTATATATTTGAGACAAAATTCATTCCAAATTCATCTGTTGCAAATGTACAACATTAATTTAATATCAATAAGTTTAATATGATTTTTATATAAAAAATAAATGTTTAAATAAAATGAAAACGATCTAAAATTTGCAACAAAAGTCGATTTTATCTCATTTCACGTTCGAAATATACATACTTTTTTCTCTAATGTTCAAGAAATATGAATGAAAATGTGTTCGATCGCCCGAGACACCGAAATTTTTTACAACTGGACATTTATTGGTCATTTGGTCATAAATTGCTCGGTCGCCTGGTTGCCTAGTGGATGGGTAGCATATGAGGCGTGGGCGTCTATGGTCGACATGATCTTGGCTCGATTGGTTAGATGTAACAGATTCGTGGTAGAGGATAGCTGTGTCTGCTGTCGTAATGGCGTTGAGTTTACGGTAGTCTACGCATACTCTAGTACCGCCATCCTTCTTTGGCACCATCACCACCGGAGCTGTCCATGGTGAATCGCACTTCTCGACGATATCCTGCCTGATCATTTCGTCCAGTTCCGTTTTTAGTGCCATGCGTTTGGCAGGTGATAACTGGTGCGGTGGGACTGCGATGGGCGCATAATCGCCTGTGAAGATATAATGCTCGGCGTGGTTACCCGGGCCATTTGCTTCCTTGAAGAGATCACCGTTCTTGGAGTGTAGCTGCTGTACCTTCCATCGATATTCTTCTGAAACTAGATGTCCCTCATTTTTGCGCAGGCTCAGCTCCCTGGCGCTTAAAGAGGCTATGGGATGATCGTAGCTGAGCGGAAAAAGGTATCGAACAGTGCGTCCAAAATGTGCTGTTCGTCCTTCTTCTCCGGTGGCGTAGCTGAACGAAAACAGGCATCGAACAGTAAGTCTAGTGCCTGTAGATCATCTGTTTCATCCGTGTCCATCTCTTCTTGTGTTGGTACGGGAACGCTCATGGCAGCCTCATTAACATGCTCTGCCGACCGTGTTACTTCGACTGTCTCAAAAATTTCATCCCCTGCTGCGAAAGGGTACTTTTGCGTCTGGTCCGAAAAGTTCCACGTGCGATGCTTCATGTCTAACACAAGATCGGCTTTGTGCCAGAACCGGGCACTTGCTACGGATAACCTCTGCTTTGCCGCAACCATAACAGGAGATTCTCGCTCCGCTGCGAGTTTCTGACTCCTCCTTCTTTGGGATCTGCTTTGTCCCTTGGCGTTTGCGACATTTTGTGACCGTGTGCCCGATGTTGCCGCAAAAAGAGCAGATTTTCCGTCTTTCCACCGGATTGCTTTCTTCCTTTTCTGCCTCGAAAATGTTAACTTCTACGTCATGAGCACTTTGAAGCAGGTCATCGAACGTATTAATCGTTGTCCGTGGGGTGCGTTTACGGAATCGCATATGCATTAGTCCAGCGGTTTCCAACCTTTTTTTCCTTGCGCCCCCCTCTTGAAAGAAAAAAATATTACGCCCCCCCCCCTAATTTCTTTAACAATTTAATTTAAATATACTTAATTAAAATTATGATTTATTCAATCTCGTACCAAATAATGCACAATATACATACATACAAAAATAAACATACAAAAATATACATACAAACATAACTATTGATTATAAGAAAAAATAATTTTAAATTTAATAAAAACAAATGATATAATATTTCACACATCATTAAAAAATTAATGCGACGGTTAAGCTTGTTTTTTAGCACAAATTTTCTCAAATCGCGGCTCCATTGTAGAAATCGCTGTTCTCAGTTCCTTTTTTATCACTAAACGAGATCGGTACTTTGTTTTTAATACTGCTACTGCAGAAAAACCAGTTTCACATAAGCAGGATGTCACAAATGGTAATAAAATTTCTAAAGCTTTATTTGTCAAAGTTGGAAAATCTTTTACTTGTAACCAATCCTTTACTTGTAACCAAAACTTAACAATATTCTTTTCGTCTTGAAACATCTGCTTCAATGTGCTATCACTAGATAAATCAATTATCATTTCCTGCTCTGCCGTTAAAAGACTATAATCATAATATTTATCAATAACAAATGGATTTCTAATCCATTCGTATTTGGACATATCTAGATCTTTAAAGTAATGCCCAAATTGGTTCCTTCATATGATTGATAATAAGATCTTTACTTGCTTCTATTTCATCAGTAACACATGTAGTTTTAAAAGAGGGAAATATATCAAAGTTATTACTTTTCATACTAGCTATCCACAGTTCTATTTTTTTTCATAAACGCCGTAATCTTGTCCTTTTGAACAAAAGCATGAATTTGAGATCCTTGCATTGATTTATTTAAATCACTTAGTCTTTTAAAAATGTCAACTAGATACGCAAATTTTGCGAGAAACTTCGTGTCATAAAATACATCTGCTTCATCTCTTTTATTATCAGCAAGAAAAATGGCAGTTTTTTTTTTGAGCTCAAACACCCTTTGAAGTACTTCAGCACGAGAAAGCTAACGTGCTTCACAATAATAAAGTAGTGCTTTGTATTCTGAGCCCATGTCATCACACAATGTTCCAAAAAGCCTTTCTCTTAATGGACTATTTTTGATAAAATTAACAACTTTTATTATAATTTCAAATACTTCAAGTAATTCTTCACCCATATTTCTTGCAACAAAAGATTGCCTATAAATCATACAATGCGTCCAAACTGCACGAGGAGCCACTTTTCGAACTGGGGCCTGCAGACCAGCATTTTTTCCTGCCATAGATGGAGCTCCATCAGTGCACAGTCCAACACAGTTCTCCCATAAAATACCATTTGCAATAAAAAAGTTATCAATCATGTTAAAAACTTCACTCGCCGTAGCTTTGCCTTCAATTGCCCTTACAGAATAACAACAACAGAATAACAACTCTTCTCTAATATCATTTTCGATAACATATCTTATATATGTTATTAAGTGTGCATCCTTAGCAACATCGGTATCCTCATCTACTTGCAACGCGAAAGAAGATAATTTAATTTTTTCTATCAACTGATCGCAAAGATCATCAGATATATCTGATATTCGTCTTGCCACCGTATTATCTGCCAGCGTAATGCTTTTAATTTGATCAGCATATGATTCACCAAACATCGTAGCTATCTGGCTGCTAGTAGCTGCTGGTAGTACTAAAGTTTCTCCTATTGAATGGGTTTTTTGCATTTAGCAATTCTATACGAAACTTTGTATGACGCAAGTAACGCTTTTGTGATATAGACAAAGCTTTTGAAAACGATTATTTCTGTTTATTTAAGTTATCTAATTTTCTTTGGAAAAATTCTTTTGTTTTGCCAACATGATCGGCGTGCACTTTTTCCAGATGTCGTTTTAATTTATTTGGTTTCATGCTATCTGAGGCCAAAGTATTCATACACAGCAAACACATTGGTCGTTCTTGACCATTAATGATCTTATACGTAAATCCCATTGGATCAGATTTTCTATGTTTAGTTTTACTATTTTGTGAAGAAACATTTCCATTATTTTCACCACCCTCTTCTTCTGCTTCATTAAATTTTCTTTTCAACCCAGTGACGAATTTATCCATTACAAACGGTTTTTATAACAAATCAAAGAAAATCACTTTTAAACTACTTTTCACAATAATTCCTGGCTAATAATGTGCTAAAACTAAAGCTATAAATTTTAACTCGATAATAATTTAGAAATGATTTTTTCTATATATCAACGCGTGTATCTCCAGCACAACTAATGAACTAATTCGATTTATAGATAATAAAAAAAATCCGAGTGATTATCTTTTGTTTATAGGCCTACAGCTCACTCGGTTATAAACGCAAAAACGAAATATTTTGAATGCATCAAAAGTATAGTATATTCATGCTGTTACATTTGTCCTGACAAAATTGCAGCGAAAATTGTAGATTACTTGCATGTATTTTGCTGATTTGTTTTTGACACTTACTCAGCATTTAAAAACAATATTTTTGAAAGAGCTTTGCGGCCCCCAGGGGGGCGCGCCCCACAGCTTACAAACCGCTGCATTAGCCCGTAGAGCATGTCTATCTGCATATCTGTGGAGATATCGTAGGGCAACTGCGTCAGTCTATATAGACGCTGTGCGGGGGTTTACTTAAAGCAAACGACATTCTTATTTCTTTACTTTTTCGGGAATCCGTGTTCCATTGAACCTGGCCGTGTACCTGGCAAAGCTGCCCGTCACCAAGTCCGTCCGTATGCTCGATTGTGCGCTTATCACTCACATCAGTCGCTGAAACATTACTTCTGACATGGTAACTGCCATTTTTCCGTTTCTGGCTCCACGTTGGGCGCCAGTTTGTAATAGGGTGGGGTTAGAATAAATGAAATTATCACAATTTTTCAACAACCGTTACTTTATTTATGGGTATGTAGGTTACAGAACTCGGAAAAATATGTATACAGTCACTAAATCAACTACGCGTAAACAAGGAGTAAAATTGATAAAGTCGAAGTTACTTTATCGCACTAAGAGTTTACACAGTTTTCTTATTCATGCGTGCGCACTGAATATCACAAAGTACGAAAGAAAATTATTAAATGCAACTACACTTAATAACTTTAAAATCGTTTGTTAAACTTGCTAATCGCGCGGGCGCAAAAGCTCATAACAAGTTTCTTAAGATATTAGGGCAAACGCGACTAAACACTTTTTGACAAATTTCTTAACTTTGTATGGCCTTAAATGCTAATTGGGCTTCCCCTACTACTGTAGTGGGGTTGATTTCTTGGCGCGGGTGATGGTTCCGAAGCTTCCCCTGGCCCTTCCGATAGTTCTCTCGCGTTGTCTCGGAGATCATCGTCGGTTCATCTCGCCAAAATCTTCAGGGGATGAGATGGTCATTGGTCTATGATGAACTCATCTCGCTGAGGTCATCAGTAATTGGCTATGATGCATTTCTCTTCCGATGACGTAGAATGTGTAAATATTATTGTCTTCCTCACACCCTCTTTGATTCACAGGGCATAAGTCCTGTATATCATCCTACTATCTTTTATCTTTCTTTTACTTAGATTGACTCATAGGGTTAAGATGTTATCTTCTCCCTTAGTCGGATAGTGCAGATTACACAACTCTTTCATATCTTTCTAACTTTACGCTAGGTCGTACGCTCTGAGGTCATAACGGCACTATGCGTAGTTTGTTATCGAGCGCCCCAGGATTCTCCGTCCTTGTCGCGCTTATGCCAGAGCGTATGCTGCATCATACTTTCACGCGAGACCCTTCGTTCGTCGTTGTGTGTGTGTAACTTTCTCTTGGTGACGTCATTGGTATTTTCGTGCGTTGTTAGCAATAATATTTGCGTACAGCAAATTGTACATGCATGAAAAATATCAATTACTATATGACCAATAGTTGTTTATTAAATATAGAATGTTACAATATATATATATATATATATATATATATATATATATAAATAAATAAATTTTACTCTAGTATTATTTAATTAATAAATCACCTTATTACTTCTTCACAAATATATTTCATAATCATTCACCAAGTTAACACCACGCCGAAATGTACAACACTCAACAAGTTACCGCCAGACACCGATTCGCACACAGGAGATACACACTATATAATTTATTGATAGTTATGATTTGGCCAATTCGTTATCGTCGTATGCTCTGATAGAAAATTGTTAAGGCCATGCCACATCAATTGATGTATTAAACTAATTGCGATTTCTTTTTGTTTCGGATTCATCAACTCGAGAGTTTTTCCGAAATTTCTGCCATTTTCATTTCTCGAGATTTTTCCTGTTCTATTTTATTCATGTGTTGTAGAAGTTTGTCTGTCAACTGGTCTCGTTTTGTTTCCTTACGACGAAACGAGGTCGTCGGCATTTCATCAATCTGCTCGAAATTAAAATACATTATATACATATATATATATATATATATATATATATATATATATACATATATATATATATATATATATATATATATATATAGTTTTGTTAATTGTAAAATTACTAATTTAAAATGTCATTTGATAAAAAAAATACTCACTTCTGAAAGTTCTTCTAAATGCTCTTCTGAACTTATGCACAGAGACCTCATGTTTGGGTAGTGTCGATCATCTAAAAATTTAAGATGATCGAAGTACCAGAGTTTTGGCTTGTAGACGCTACAGCCCGAGCGCATAGAAGCTTTTATCTAGAATAACATACTGTTAGATTAACACAGTCCAAATCATCTAAACTAACAATTAATTTTGATAATATTTTCCTCATATTGTGAAGTTTTTAATATTATTAAATACCTTGTTAACCTTCTTGTTAAAAACGCTCCTAATGCTTTTAATTTTTTTAGCCACTGTGGCTATAGTTGCATCTGGATTAATTTCTTTAAATGCCGGCAGCATTGAATTTAACGCATTATTGCGCATTTGTTTATTATGATATGCCTCGTCACTTATTGACCACAAACAAGTATGGGCTTTGTACATTTCTATAAATTTCACTATGAAATTTTCTGAATCCATATCTATAAATCCATCAAAATTATTATCAATAATTGTTCAGAATGTGCTAATTATAACTGTATATATAACTAAAAACTAATACGTACCTATATTTTCCTATTCAGATTTCCAACTAATAGAACTTTCTCACAGGATTATAATAGTCGAACTAAAATAATTTTAAGCAATGCTTTCTATATATTTATATATACGATTTTATATTTTTCCTTCAAAAATGAATATAATATTGAATTTGTTTAAAAAGTTGTCCGTTTTTATTTGCACCTCAAAAAATATGAGTCATTGGTTTGGAATTTAATTTTGCTTATGAAATCCACATTGCACGACCCTTTCTCGTATCTGCATTATTGTAAATGTAGACATATATTCCAAGATTAAAAGCCATGTTTCAGGTTAAAATTAGGTTCTAATATAATGTAAATCGTAAATAATTTCTTATAACTGCTATTGGTCTACATTTGAGCAATATTTTGAGCTATATATTTGCGACAAAATTCATTCCAAAATCATCTGTTGTAAATGTACAACATTAATTTAATATAAATAAGTTTAATATAATTTTTATCTAAAAAATAAATGTTGAAATAAAATGAAAACAAACTAAAATTTGCAACAAAAGTCGATTTTATCACATTTCACGTTCGAAATATACATACGTTTTGCTCTAATATTCAAGAAATATGAATGAAATTTTGTACGATTGCCTGGGACACCGAAAATTTTTAGAACTGGACATTTATTGGTCATTTGGTCATAAATTGCTCGGTTGCCTGGTTGACTAGTGTATGGGTAGCATAACCGAGCGAGTGCCGCAAATGAAATCACGTAATATTCTCTATTAAAACTTCTCTCTTATTCCATAAATGTTGGCCTTTGGTCTAGATTCTCGACAGAGCTCAAACTGATTCTATGACTACGATTTCTCGGATAAACGTCAAAATATATTTTTTTCAATAATATAAAATTTCGGCCATAAATTGAGATTTTTAATATACTCTACCGCCTAAATGATATCCACATGTGCACGATGATTGCGACTAATTTTAAATCGGTTCAGTATTTCAGGCGTCCATCGCAGCCAAATAACGTGACACTAACTGTATATAGATTAAGATATATATATATATATATTATTAATGCAAATCTGTATTTGCTTTTTAGTCTTAGGGCTGTCGGTTTCATAAAAACTAAAAGTAACAAGAAGGGCGGCGAGCGCTTGCAAAATCATTAAATTATTATTTCCTTGATAGTCAGAGATTAAGATTTTAGTAAACAAAAATGACAAGAGGAAATCAAAGAGATTTAGCACGAGCTAAGAATCAGAAAAAACAAACCGAATTAGCCAAGAAGAAAAGTAGCACAGATAAAAAGGGAATGACATTCGAGCAACGCAAACACAGGGATGCTGAGCTGATGCGAGAAAAACAAAGAAAAAACCAGCAAGAAGATGCCGCAGCCTCTGGTAACAGTTAATTCAACAAAACACAAATGTTTTCGAGAAGAATGCCTGTGAAAAAAATAGAACTAACTAACTCACTACACGACTAACATTATTATGAAATAACAAATTACATATATCAAATTATTGAACCCCATAAGACTTCGGAATTTCAATGAAAAGGTTTCATTTTCAAATTTTTTATTAAACATTTTGGGCACACAGTTTGTC